TTCAGCAGAATGAGAAGAGACGCAAACCGATAAACCTATGGGCCAGATACAAGGATATCTTCCCGTGTTCTTGGAGCTTTTTTTGTTCTACGGAGCTGTTTATTGAGTTTATTGAAGGTATGGACAGACAGAGGTTGCTTTTGCTTGGTGTCACAAAGCAATCACTTGATATATATATATATATAAATATGTGTCCATAGCTGATATAGCTTGCTGTTTGGTGGACCGAACGTTAGCTTAAGTATGCAATGGCGGCGACAAGGAGTAGCAGTGGAGCCCTGAGGCGGCGACTTCGTGTCCCTTGTTCGGCGAGGCAGCAGTGCCCTTAGTAGCCTTTTGCTTGCATCGCCCTGAGGGAACCGGAGACGATTAGAAGAGGTTGGGAAAGTTGAAGGTGGTATGTTCCAGTATGCAAGCATGACAATGAAGGAGTAGTGTCATTTGTCTACAAGTCTATATACTGTAGCCAGGCTTGGCCCCAGTACGCCACACATCCAGCTGCCCGGGAGAATTGACAGCAACCTGGACATGTAGACTGTAGAGGTCTTCCGCAATTACTGCTCTTTCGCAGGTACGCCACAAGTTCTTCACAGCGGTTCATGTAGCAACAGTGGGCAAGATGTAAGTGCCAGATGGTTTTTGACGATTACGGGAGCGTTTTATCAGGGAAAACGAGATTTTCTGGTGCAGTCGAAGTGCCGAGAGCTATCGTTTTGGATAGCCCACTTTCGGATAGCCCACTTTGGTCCACCACGTCATGCTCATGCTTCAGAATTCGAGCGGTGCGACAAACACGGCTCGTGCTGCAGCAAACAGGAACCCACTTCTTCGTCAAGAGTCCTTGTCCCTTTCGAAGAAGCCAACGACTCATGTGATAGCAGAGAAGTAGTAGTTGTGGTTGGTGGTGGTGGTGGTTGTGCTCGACTACGTGATTAATTGATGCGTGCTGCCGGTGTTCCCAGCAAGTTTTCCATTCCGGTGAAGGTTACTATCACGAAGATCCTTGTCATCGTCGCGCCAGTCCATTCTGGCGTTTTTCCAAGTCATCAGGACTGTCTGTCTGACTATTGTCTCTTGTGTTTCTACTAGTATTCACGTAATGTTGTCTTCGCCGCTATTCAGATTCACGCAATTGTTGTCCGGCCGTGATGGCCACCACTGCCATGTTGTCTTTTGTCGAGTTCAGCATCATGCCGATGTATCATGGTTTCGGGGTTGCTGCTTCTTGTCCTGAAGCCTGAACCCTGAACGTAAACCGACGGGGGAAGCTACACTCCGAACCCCAAAAGCAGGCTCTAAACCCCACTACACAATTTCGCTGCTGCAAAAGCCAGTGTAAGGCGAGAACGGCGAGTTCGCGCCCTTCGCCCTAAAGGTGCCTCCGCAGTTCTTCACTTGGCGCACTTCTTAGCTTTAAGGTGCAGGTCTTCAGCGCCTGTTGAGTTTGCGGGTGGTAGGTCGTTTCATGTTTGGGTTTTCAGGGCGCAGGCTCGAGGGGGTTCTCAGAGACCGATGTCCTTTGGTTCGTCTTCAGACTCTCGGCGTGTCAGGAAGACTCTATTTGTCAGCTTTGCTGCACGGCCTTGAGAGTCATTGGGTCTGCTTAGCCTCTGAGCTTTGGATTCTCTGGAGCTTTGGATTTGGGCCCCAGAGGCTCTCGGCAAGATCTTCTCCTGAATCCTCAGAAGACTTGGTAATTTAATAGTTTCAAGCAGGCTACCATACATTCCAAGATAACACAATTATTAGAAAATAGTATCATATTTTCGAAGATCCCAATACAGGAACCTGGATCAATCCGCTCTCATATGAAAGGCCCACAGAGCCGCGTCAGCAGGGGCCTCTGCAGTCATCTGCGCAGATGTGGAGGCAGCCCTGCAAAGAGTTAGCCGAAGCAGTCGAAGTAGCGTCATGTGGCTGTCATGTTTTTTTTTTTTGTCCTGCGCACGTCGGACTCCGGTCTCGTCTGCCTCTTGGGACCTCGAAAGCTTAAAACCTTCCTGAGATGTACTCTGATGTACTTGGTTGCTGTGGCGGCTTCTGTGGACCAACTTGCCAAGATCCTTCCAGACTTTGACCGCTGCCTTTCAGTGCTTTGACTTCGTGGGCGTTGGCGCCAGCCCGTGGCAACCCTAAACCCTAAACCCTATAAGCCCTAAACCATTCATAAGCATCGTCAGCCAAACAAGATGCACCTTTCGATCGAGCCTTCCTCGTCTGCTTTGCAGGAGCGCCTGCCTTCCGCTCAGTTTCTCATCCAGCCTTTGTAGCAACTGTACGGGAATGGGGAAAGCCCTGGGCTGTTTTCAGTGGCTAAGTAGAATTCCTTCAGCATTTTTCGTCTCGATAGCAGCAACACCTATCTACATAAGAGCACTCCGAGACTGATCGGGTCTTGTGATGACTGTATGTAGGCCTCATGCGCCGATTGTGGAGCCACATGTTCTTGGAATGCTTCGAAGTCATCTGGCGGCGCCAAGTTTCACACCTGACAACCTCACCTGAAAACCTAATAGCGAAGGCACAGGGCTTGAGGGGCTTACTGTGGGGCAAATAATAAGGTCTACGAGTTGAGGTTTGTGCAACCTGATCTACCTTCTCCTGAGACCCACCACATCATCAGCCAAACACCAGTTGGCAGATTCGCGAGCTCAGCCGTCTTTCAGTACAGTAGTCAGAACCTGTGCTTCCGAGCCATGGACAAGCACGCTTAATCAGGAAAGGGCAAGGAGCTTTGCATCAGTTTAGGCAGCTCCAACAACTCTAGGCCAGCACACCGCATCGGCGCTGCGACTTTCTGGGGCGACGTTAGCCCAAGCCTCGGGGCTGGGATCCGGTTCGATCTCCTTGAAGGAATTTCAGGGCTACCTGAACCTGGAAGGCAAAGTAGGCGCTCCAAGGCTTGGAGGTTGTTGAAGGGCTCGCTGCAGATGTGTCCAGGAAATCCGAAGGATCACTTGCGTACTCCCTGACTGAACTTTACAGGGCTCGAGCCGGAACTTGGGGTATCCCGGTATCCCGAAGGGTCCAAGGCATTCAAAGAATTAGGTCCATTGGGGGTAGGGCAGCGGGAAGCTGTTGGCTCGTCTGTGGGGCCGGGAGAATTATGATTAGCAAGACATGAGGTGCTTGAATCCTGGGGGCATGGAGCAGTTGCTGGTCTTGAGCTTCCTCGGAGCCCGAGAATCCGAGAACAATCTGTATGCGGCAGCTCAGCACTCTTTCTGGGTGATCGTGGTTACTTTCAATGTTTGCATGTTTTGCAGACCCCAAAACCTATACATGCGGCTCTGCCTCTTGAGTTACAGGGTATAAGCCGTGAACTAGTAGGTAATTGCATCCACCGGCAGGGTTTTTGGGGCTACGGGGGTTTCAGAGTCTCCATGGCATCGTAACAGGTTGTTAATCCTTGAGAGTGGCCGGTTGAGCGTTGGTGTGGGACGGAGCTGTCCTTTACAGGGTACGTGTCCCTACCTGAAGTCTATGTTTACATGTAGGCCTTATGCTATACCCAAACCCTTTTCCTGTAGACTGCGTGACCCGACCCCGACATGACAGGCTAGGCCCTTAACCAGGGCAAAGTTCGGGGGGAGGCTCCTTCCCAACCATGCGGACCCTCGATATATAACAGTTTAGGGTTCAGTTGTTGGGGATGTGCTGGCACAAGCTCTAGATCTCGAGAGAAGGGTATCAGTGTGCACGGTGAGGAGCATGCCTTCACACTGCCGAGGAATAGCTTGGAAAACGAAGAGCTGCACATTCCCATCAATTCCGGCTACTCGTCCAGGATCTTTAGGCAGTCTTGTGTAAGATTCTGCGGATGTTTCGGAGCGAGGCGGGTGAGGAGAGCACATGACATGATGCTTGAGCAACGAAGGAATACTACGGAGGCCTTCAGTTTCCCTCCTTAGCTGACTCTATAGCAACGGTTCAGTATGTGTACATGTCTGTGTATTATGTGAATGTATATATATATATATGTGTGTGTGTATATATATATATGTGTGAATATGTATGTACGTGTAAATATGTGTATATATATATATAAGGAGAGCGAGAGGGAGAGAGAGAAAGGGAGAAAGATAGTTGTGCCACACGATTGCATAGATCCACCGGATGTTTTTCACAAGCTCGACATCGACGATGGAGAGACAGTGTAGGTAGGCTCTGTTTCCAAGCGCAGCTGGCCTTCGAAGAGCACGGGTTGAGGGTCTTACGCAATGGTGTCCTGTGAATTCGAAGGAAGGCGACGGCACTAGAATGGCAGCGTGATTCTGAGGTACTGCTTCTTCCGAAAGCCGACGGGGAGAAGCTGATGGAGTGTCGGACTTAGACCTTTTGCCGGACGGAAGCAGGACGAAGTAACAGCGATCGCAGAATTTCGAGAAGGGTTCGTGAACCCCGAAACGACGACAACACGAGCAACCATGTTGATTCTGGCAACTTTGTACTTCACCAACTTAAAAACAACCGCAACAGAACGCATCAAGACGTGCACGTTTGGAGATGCAGGCATCGTGTACACGTAGGGAGAGAGAGCTGTCGTTTGAACATGACGACCGCCAAGAGTGTGGCAAAGAGTTCGACACGGCTCAGACTGATGACAAGCACCTTTAGCAGAGGCCCGCCCGAATCCCAAATGGCCGAAAATACCAGGTTGGTGGTTTGGAGGAATGTATTCGATCAGTATATATATATATATGTATATATATATATATGCACAGACTAAACCTGTAGCTCTGTTGGGTCACGATCAGGCTTGTGGAACCTTTTCTTCTGTTTGTAAATTAGCTTCTATCTTCAAACATGTTAGTGTCTCGTTTGCTGCAAGTGTGGCTCCCAGAAATAATTCAATTCACTTCGCCACCGCATAAACATACAAGAGCAGTGGAAGGTCAGACAGGCTTGCGGCATGTTGGTCTTGACAAGTTTGATTCAGTAAGACAAATTTCAAAGAGATAGTCAGTGTCTTTTGAAAGCTGCTTTCTGACTTGTAAAGCATGCGTGCACCTTCCGAAGCCTGCAGTGAGACAGAGGATGCGAAAGATGAGCAGGAGGTGGACACCCAAGGACAGCCACACTGTCAGGGATTGAGCCCCTTTTTCTCACGCAGCCGCAAGTCCAAGCTGGCCTCGCGACTGAAAACTTCTTACACCGGCTCACGCATCGTCGAAGATGAGGGTGGCCAGGCTGAGAAAATTGACAGAGTTTGGCTCAGCATCCGTCCCTGGGTATGTTTGCATGCTTTGGTCGCAAGGCAGCGAGCGCATCCGATCTGCAATCCGGAGTGCGAGGATTGGGAGGAAGAAGGGGCATCAGAAAGAGCTGTACTGGCGCATTCACGAAAGGAAGACACACCCACAGCCGACGAGTTTGCTTGGACCGCAGCTATGGTTGTATCATTGCCGCCTGAATGCCTGGCTCGGGCACTGGAGTTCATCCATGGAGATGTCAGCAGCGTTTATGCGCCTGAACCTCGAGTTCCCTATGCCACACCCTTGTCGTCGGAAGTCAAGGCAGCTCAGGTGAGGAACTGGCAATGCTGCAGATACCTTCTCTCACAGCAGTCGTGCTTGCATGGCCGCGTTGTTCAATCAGGACGTTCCGGGCGGTCCTTGTCTGTGGCCTGCTGGTATTGTACAGCCAATTTTCCCCACGGTCTTGAAGGCGTTGAGCAACTCAAGGCTCATGCAGAGGCCGCCCATGCGCCGGAGATCTTGGCGTATATTCGCAAGACCAGAAAGGTCAAAGCCCGAAGACAGCGGGAGCGGTACCAAGCCGGTCCCGGCGGCCAAGTGAGGAGGGATTTGGAGCTACAGAAGCAGCTAGGCAAGCTTCGATAACATCGTCTGGGCAGTGTGGGATTCCTGCACTGCCTTGTTGAACCCTGATCCGTGGTATGTGCAGAAGTAGTAGCAACTCTGTCTCACCATATAGGGCTGCAGGAAAGCTAGGTCTTGGCTTGCATCGCCGTCACCTTCAGATTTGTGCAAAAGGCGGCGGCCGTCGATGATCCTTGGTAACGTTGCCCTTAGATTCTTAGATGCTCAAGGTTCACTGCTGTCGCCAAGCAGCCCAGTGCGAACACAATCCCGAAGACTTACTGTAGGCTTTGCAAGAGCGGCCGGTGTGCGGCGCCCAGTGAACGCATGTCTCAGAATGATGTGGATGCCTGATAAGATGTTCAGGGACATGGGAAACATGGAGGCCGCATGGCTTTGTCGAACCCAAAGCAGCTGATAACCGCACAATGTCACCCCCGGCGTTTTATGCTGCTGCGAGGTCTAACCGCAGACTTCACCGTGAAGTCAGATCCATATCCCAGAAGAACGCTGGCAAAGAAGCTTTGCCAGGCCATGGGACACAGTGCCCCCTGCCCCACAATGTAGCCTCAGAAGCCAAGAGCGGATGATACATCTTACCCATTGTCACGACAGTCGCCTCAACACTAGTTGAGGTTTTGCACTGGCTGATTTCCCGCCGGGGCTTACGGCTTCCCCCCGTAAAGTTTAGCTTTCATGGTGGGTTTTCCGAGGTCCAGAAATACCGAATTCCCAAGCCCCCCGTCAGACTGAATTAGAAGCCCGAAAGTTGGAACATCAGTATTCTCAGGCCCGTACAGTAAAGCATAGAAATTGCGATTGCTATGCTCATCCTTAAGCATATAATTCACTCTCCAAGTTGTTGGAGAATACTGTAGGCTGCGGTTGGTTATCGAGAAGCCACGATCGCCAGGGCTTCGCGCTAATCTTCTCTGGCATTGGCGTGCTGTATGGCATAATCCAGTGCTGGCCCTGTCCGGGTTCAAGGGTCTCACGGCGGAACTGATACAGCACAGCCGTGCCTGCATGTGCTTTGATCCTTGCAGCTCACGAACCTTATCCATGTGCTGGTTCTGGCTTTTCCGTTATTAGTTATGTGGCCTGTTGCTCTCTCTCTCTCTCTCTCTCTCTTTGTCTCTCTGTCTCTCTCGCTCTCCCGCTCGCTCTATGCACTCTTGCTCTCTCTCTCTCTCGCTCTCTGTCTCCTCCTGGCTCCCCTCCCCTCTTCCCCTCCCCTTCCCTCCCTTCCCCTCCCCTCTCTCCCTCGCTCCCTCTCTCCCTCTCGCTCTCGCTCTCGCGCGCTCTCTCTCTCTCTCTCTCTCTCTCTCTGTCAAAATTTTGCCAGCCGGATCGTTTGAATTCAGGCACAACAGGCACATGTGTTCAATGTGCATGCCTCCGCCTGTATTCTGTAGACGTGTTTGCAGACCAAAGGCGGAGACATACGGTCGTAGTATAAACAATATTAATCAGAGCAACGGTAGTGTGTTTGTGTTTGTGTATGTGTGCGTGCATTTGTCTGCCTGTCCGTCCGTCCGTCTATCTGTTTGTTTGTCTGTTTGTCTGTGTGTGGGTGTGTGTGTGTGTGTGTCTGTCCGTTTTTTTTTGTGGTTTGTGCCGCTTGTTCGAGTTGTGAGAGCGTCAATACTAAGGAGGAAAACAGGTGGACTTCCGCAGTGTTTCCTAGATTGCGATTCGCGAAAAGAAGGGCTTCGACGCTCTTGTTGAAAACCACTGCCGAAGCGTCATCCAACACACTCCAACACCTGAGAACCTCACAGAGCACGCACGTCTTCCGAACTATAAGTGGAACATGCTGAAAGCCATCGGATTCGAGTTGCGCACTCGGTTCGCCATCGAAGGCCCGCAGTCCAAGCACCACTCCCGGTCACCCGTTGTCCCTTACATCCTGAAGTGCAACACCTTCTGAACCGGCCTGCCCTTCGCATGGGCTATTTGGGCACTTTTGAGGTGCTTCGCCGTCGAAGTCGGCGGCGAGTTCCTCGCTGCGGAACAAGCGGCCAGGGAGATAGGCCGGCTTCAACGGCTTGAGGGACCAGTCGTAGCATTCCGGAGACACCTGGTGTTTCGGCATGGGACCCTGGTTCCTGCAGGGCTTGCAGGGGACGCATCACACCTTGTGTCTCTACCGTCGATGCGACTTCCGGCTGTGGCCAGGAATTCGATGCGTTTGCATAGACGTGGACCTGAACAGGTGGGCGGGGTTTGCGTACTGGGAGAGTCTTCTCTTTTCAGTGTAAACGCCAGAGTGATTACAGATTTATACAGATTAGGCAGAATCTGACCATGGTGTGATGACATTAAGTTACTGATTTAATGATCCAAGAGCAGCCGCAGGCACATGCGCACAGAGGAACATTACATGCCAATCGTATTTTCCGAGCTTCCCCGCTGGACTTTGGCCTGCGCAGCTTTGGCAGGTTTTGGAGTCGACTCGGGTGGGCGATTCTGTTGGGATCTTATGATCACCGGCTTGCTGGGAGGAGCCTAGACTGCGGAAGTGTCCCGCTCCATTTCTTGAACTTTTTCTCGCCTATACATTGGAATGAAGCGCAAGAACATGCTGGCACGCTACCAGCCTATATGAAGGATTCTGGAAGCATTTACCATGTATACAAAAAGGCTCACACTTAGGTTTTTGCAGGTGGCCTGCTTATTTCGCTGCGAAAGATAGTTAAGCTTTAGCTCCGCGTTAATTAGCATTGCTCCAATGGATCCTGGCCCGGGCACCCTCAAGCATTTCAGAAAATAAGATGTCAACCATCATCGTACCAAGAGAATGTGGGGGGTTCTGAGTGCCAATTTGGGCAGAAAGAAGTGTACAAGTTAACCCAGATTCGATATTCTTCGAAACACTACTACTGTATAAACCCTAACCTTTGTAACCCTTCGTCCTGCAAGAGCGCTTATAATTCCCGAGGCCCCTGCCAGCTAACTTGCTCAACTCGCTCCTGTCATGGCTAGCCTGGCGCTTGGCTGTCTCGGCGAAGAATCGCATTTGAGGTGCCGAAGGGCTGCACTGGGACGAGAAATAACTCCAAAGCACCAGCGGCACGCCACAAGCAGAGTTTATGTTGAGCCCTAGGCCGGGAGGCTCATGTAAGGGTCTGGCTATGCAATGTACAACAACACTCGGCTGCTCAGGCGTTTCCACGGCTTTTCTTTCAGGCCGGGTAGCCGGTTCCGAGTGTGTCGTGGAATGCCTAGGCCTCGTCAGTTGGCCTGGCAATACACCAGACCCTGCACCAAACTGTATCTAGCTGGCCATTATATGCCTGCAGCTCGGCTTGGGAAAATGCTTGCATGTCACCTACTAAGAAAACAGACTAAACATGGCAATGACTAAACTCCAATCTGGGAGCCCCCGAGCCTTGCAGGCCTCAACCAGAATGTTTAGAAATGCCAAGAAAGCTCTACAAACCCTATAAACCCTTTGAGCACCAACGGCTCTAAAGCAAGTCAAACGGTGATACGTGCCATGCCAGAGTCAATGAGCTCATGCCCCGACCAGTGAACCCTCGCCTAGGCAAGTCCGAGTGTGAGTGCTGAAAGCAAGTCAACGAGAAACTTCTTGCCCAGTCGGAGAAACGGAGCTTTGAATTAAATATTTTTTGAGATCCCATGCTGTCAGAAGCGTCTTTGCGGTTGTTGTTTTTGTTTGGCTTCGTGGCGCTTCGGTTGAAGTCGGCTTTCTGCTTTTGTCCGTTTGAGGTTGTTGTCTTCCAGGCTACAGGTTCTTCTAGTTCTCGGTATCTGAGGGGCTTATGCACTCTGGGCACGGCTCTTGCCCTATCTGTTTGTTCAACAGATCCAGGATTCTCGCAATCATAGAACCCGAGCTCCTATTCGGCGCCCGCTCCTTACAGAATGACATGCGATGTGCGCAGTTCGTGTTCCCGCCGTTTGGCACGATCGATGTGCTCGGCAGCATGGTTCTGCATGGTCGAAGCCCCAGTCTTGCTACTGCGAAGGGCTCCCGAGGCGTCGAATCTGAGGTCTGAAGCTTGGGGTTTGGGGCTTGTACAACCTGCAAAGCAGCACACCTATGAGATAAGGACCCTTTGGCAATAGACGTGAAAAGGTGAGGCCCGAGCCGCTGAGGACAAGGACGAAGGCTTTGCTGCAGGATTGGTTTAGGTTGTTGGCATCGGCTTTCAGGTTTAAGGTTTCTCAAGCCAGAACCGGGGTTTAAGGTTCCAAGTGCTGCTTCCCAGCCGATTGGCAGAGTCTGAGTTCCAAAAAAGGGGGTCTATAGGGACAAGCCAGCCTTGCACACGTTTCCCCCCAATTTTTGAGATTGTTCAACCTCGAGACCCGTCAGTTGCCTTTCCTGAAGGGATGCGAATTCATGCCACAAATCGTCGAACCTGTGAAGTCTCACCTCGATTGCTCCCGGCCCTAAGAGCCCACTGTAAGCCCAAGGAGCCCAGTCAGTAGGGTAGGATCTTTGTGATCTCTCTATGTGTGATATATTTCTATGTGTATATCTATAATCACTCTCTCTATAAATTATATATACATATATATATATATGTATGTATGTGTCTGTATGTGCTTATGTACATACAGAACATATCATATCGTATTATGCATACATAAATACATACCTACATACATACGTGCATACATGCATACATACATACATACCTACAGACATGAAGACATGCAGACATGCAGACATACA